ATAGTTGCAACAAACGGTCGCCGTTATCTGTTTTTTTGAGTTGCGACACAATAAGATCCACCCAGGTGTCTTTCTTTTTCGCTTAGTTTACTTACTTCAGCATTAAAGTCACCAGCCACTATTACTACATCTGAACGCCTAGCTTTCCGGAAAAGGCCGGAAAGCTTTCTGTAAAACTCATCTTTTACATCATCTGAGCTGCAGTTAGTGGAAGAGTAGGTAGAGACGACGAAGAGGCAACGACGAGTGTCCCCATCTTTCCGAGTTCTTACTGTTCCGTTTAGTTGGACAGCGCACAAACGACTGTCTACTGGGACCCAGTCTAAGAGAGCTAGTTCTGCCCTAGGGCTCAATGCTATACCTACGCCAGCGAGGCCACGGCAAGCAGCATCAGGGCTTCCAGATACACGAAGCGTAAACCGAGTTGGTTCGTTACTTTGACATGGTGAGGTCAAATGAATGACACTACTCGGATCCTGTGTGCGCGTTTCGGAGACGCAGCACACATCGATGGAGTGAGATTCTAAAGTCCTAGCTAAGGAAGCCTGTTGTCCTATTTGGCACAGTGTTCGGACGTTGAAAGCTCCTACGTGTAGTTTAGATCGTGGTTTCAAGAGACCAGGAATAACGTTCCGCGCACTCAAATCGTTTGCACTAGCGGTTTCAGGTGATAAAGGGACGTTAGAAGGGTTAGTCGTGGAGATGAGAGAGTTATTAGGAGGTGTAGGAAGGATTTGAATGTGACCAACTTGGTCTCGTATGCTGTTACGGGTATGAGGGCTGATGTCACTGCCCGGTTGCCCACACCGTGGAAGGGTATTTCTTGAGGAACTTGAAAATGATCTTGAAGACCTGGGAGCGTGACCGCAGAGTCCAAGGGACAACTGCTTGAGCCGGTTGCGCACGGCCTTTTTGTGGGAGGCTTTTAGATTGTTAGCTCCGTTCTTCAAAAGGCCTTACCGCCGGAGACGGAAATCCGTGGGGTAAGGTGAGATGTGACATTTTTAGGGTCAACCTTTTCTAACCCCTTCCTTCCTTGTGAGAAGGCAGCATCGCTGCAGATGCTGGTTGTCCGAGGGAAACACCTTACTGCTGTCACACCTCTGTACAGTCAGCAGTACGACTTCGCCCTCAGTCTTTGAGTTGCTGATTTTAGTCTTATGTTCTCCAATCGACCTGCCTGGCATGGTAGAACCTACAGGAACATAAGTTCCGGGCAATATAGCTCGGTTGGTTCATTAGGACAGGCAAGCTCAACCACCATATCAAGGTTGCAGCTACGGTCCGAAAAATCCAGATCAATCATATTCGTATCACCAAATGAATCACAAGGTCAATAGAAGACGGGAGAATCAATAGAGTAATTGACATAACTTCAGATCATCACTAGCTTGTGGTTGCCAAGATGAAATTGAAGCTAAATAAGCACCGTACAACAGATGAAAAAACATTACGAAAGTTCAACACAGCCTTCCTTCGAGACACTAACAAACTAAATGAATTCGAGATAGTTCTCAACAACAGGTTCCAAGCCTAATAATATTTAATTTAAGAAGAGGAATCCAGTATGAAAAACCACTGGTAAGTGATCGAATAAGCACTAGGCCGCAAGAAGCATCATAATAAGTAATGGATCTCTATCGAAACCCTGCACAAGATTCAAGTAAGGAAGAACAAAAAGACAGCAATTAACAACAGATGAACAAGAACAGAGAAATTGAAGTCTGAAACTGATCACACAGAAGCAAATAAGCAACTAAAGCGAAGCATCAGTAGGCCTCAACATACACAACGAAAAAGCGGCATCCTCAAATACAACACGGAGAACACCAACACAACAACATTTGATGGAGAAACTCTGGAACATAAGAAATCTTTCACGTACTTGGGAAGCATAATCGATAAACAAGGAGGATCGAATACAGAGGTAAGGGCGAGTATTGGCAAAGCAAGGACAGCATTTCCACAGCTGAAGAACATATGGGATCCAAAACAACTATCTCTCTACCAACAATAAATTTGGAATCTTTAATACAAACGTGAAGACAGTTCTAGTGTACCGAGCTGAAACATGGAGAACTACCACAACTATCATCAAAAACGTATGAGTGTTTATAAACAACTTTCTACGCAAGATACTCAATAATCGTTGGCCGTTTACCATCATCAACAGTCTACTGTTGGGCTGAACAAACCAAATTCTAGCTGAGGAAGAAATTTAGGAAAGATGTTGAAAGTGAATAGGACACACATTGAGGAAATCACTAAACTGCATCACGATGCAAGCCCTTACTTGAAATCCTGAAGGGAAGCGGAAAAGTGGAAGACCGAAGTACACATTATGTCGGGAAATGGAAGGAAACATGGAATGGATGAATAGCGACTGGAAATAACTGGAAAGTGTCAGTTGGGACAGAGTTGGATGAAGAGTGCTGATGGGCGGCCTATGGTTCTCCACGAGGAGTGACATGCGCAAGTATATATTCGTGTAAATATAAATGTACCATTAAAGTTTATCTTATTACATCTATTGGAAGACATTTATGGAGACTTTGAGAAGCGTAATATAAGGAATACGTTAGTTATAAAAAATTGTAAGGGGTAACTACACGTTACTTGTTAATGAAATGTTTGAAAATGTTGTTTTTGTCTGATTAACAGGTAGACGGGATAATACAGTACATTGGCTGTATTGAAGAAACTTCAAGAATGTCATTAATCAGAGAAGCATAAACAATTCTGCCTTATCACTCATACTTCTTAAACATTTGTGTTTCCTAACTAGTGCTGTGCGTGTTATCAGCAATTTTATATAACCATCTGTAATAAATAATGTTTTTCCTTGTATGGAATGTTCTCAGTTTGTTTTGGAATGTCATCAAAATATTGAATAAAAATTATGTTAAATTCGTAAATCATCATATCTTAAATATCAAATGAAATGAAATCCTAAACGTGTTTTATATACACCAGTTTATTGTCGTTCTAACTGCTTTGAAATGAATAAGTTCTCAGTGCATATTCAAAGATGTGGCACTTTGAATGGTCCTACACCTAATCCATTTTAATCTCAACATATCAATTCTTGTGTAAGACATCAAAAAGACCTAACTATCCCACTGGAATAGGTTGATGTTAGTGATTTAAAACTTCCTTAAATAAAACTTTGTTATATCGCGTTAGCGCAAATTTTATAACTAACAAATTTTACATTCCTTTGTTTTTATAATACAAAATGCTTTATCATACTCTTATATAAACAGACTATATGATTATCGCAACACTTAATATACACATACATAATGAACTTATAATTCTATATTGTCCTTTATTATTTTTTCTAGATCATTTGTAAAACAACCAGACTGTATTGTGTCAAACAGTAAAGAATTTTTGCAAATTCTTTATTTGAAACATTTAATACCAAATAAGTTGTTTTTTTGTTTTCTGATAAAAGAAAAGAAATGACGTGAAACACAACATCTACGTGCCTAAAAATCTGAGTAGAAAAACTTTCTGAATACTCTATTTGTTCGTATATCCAAGTCAACATGGTAAAACGTCTTTTTTTCATTAATTACTATTGGAATTTTTAAGCATAATAAAAACTTACAATAATGAAATAGCATATGATGCCTATTCATCACTGTGTTTAATTCTGTGTTGTAGGATATTTTAGGAAGTTAATTATTGATGTATTTCATGACGATTTTTAGTAAACCATATACTAATGACACTTAAACTGTTCATTTTAATAATTCAGTTTTGATATATTTACTATATCCCGCGTAAGTGATCATAGTTGCGTACTGTTGAAGAATCCCATACTAGGACAAAAGTGCTTTCCAGGGCTTCCAGCTATTCAATGGTGGTCCAACATTTGTTCCATTCGTAGTATATCAATTTAAACTCAACAATCTCCAGAACTCTTTACTAATAAATCATATTCATTGATACAATTTGTATTGTTAAAGCTATTTAAGAGCTTATTCATTATAACCAATAAGTGAATAGTCGATTTAACCAATGAAAAACTACTCAATCTGCTCACCTACTTAAATTCTAAATATAAAATTTTATTGTGACTTAATTTTAATAACATAGTATGGTAAGTCGTTGGTATGATTTATAAAAACAGTTATATAAAACTTTGAATAATACAAACACTGAATTATAAAAAAAAGTTTATTTGTATAGTTGACCAGAACTTAATTTCTCTGAACAAAGTATTAGTTATTTATGTATGTTTAAATTGATAGAGATTACTTATTCATGTTACATACTTAATATTAAGCAGAGAAATACATCACTGACGGTAACATGAATAGAATTATTACGAGGAAAATAATATAATCAATGTAAGTACTTTTGATATAGTGATCTGACAATTATTTCTGATCCTCTATAGTTAAAATTCTATCTGTCAATCTTATAAGCTTCTGAAAATTATTCTAATATGACTTAAAATGATTTTTTGAAACGAAAAAGGTATCTTTTCATGAATATTCAAGTGTATTGACTTCATTACTATAATCGAAATGAAGCAACAAAATGATTTGTCATTACTTTGACCTGACATGGTGTCCAACCTGGATGAGATAATTTGTTACTTATACTCAGTATTCATTCAACATATTATATTAAATGTAAAGAGAAAGACCTAAGTTTTCAATTGTGGTATTATATTGTTTGAGGATTGAGAAAATCATACTATAACCGCTACTTTCTCATAAAAGTATACTTTTTTCCGTTTTGCTCTACTTTTTGTGATTAAAACATTCCTATTTGCATCGAATTTGATGAATAAGTAAACTTACTGTAGAAAACTCGTTTATCTCTTCTAATTACACTTATGCAATCGGTTTATTACATTTTAGAAAACATTGTGAACACTACGACATATTTTGGGATAAGTCTAATCATTCTGCAGATAAACTCACCTATTTCATCATCCAAACAAGAACGTTGATAGCTTCACAGTATATATCCTTTCCTTTGCGATGGTTGACAAAAGGCCTGATACGGGTTGTACTAACACGAAATGTAAATATATCACGCTTCTTATGCTTATGACAGTCACATTATACTTATCAATTGAACTATGTCTTTTCACATCGGATCAATATGTATTTTACAAGTAAATTAAAATCATATTTTTTCCAACATTTTTTAAAATATTTTACTTATCGTCTATGTCTCACATACATTCGCAAATCCAGATTAACTTGAATAACATACTATAAGACTGTTAGGGATTTATTCATGTAGCCGAGTCGTTTTTTATTTAAAATTAGCTGGTAATAAGCTGTATTGTTTAAATTCAATTGATTGTTGGGTGAGTCTCACAGATATAACTGAAAATAAACTATGCACTCTCATTCGTTTTTTAATTTAGAGAAGGATAACTTAATCTAGATATGCAATTGATAAAAATATCACTCATTTTGGAATGACAGAAAATAATAAATTATTAAAGTTAATGGCTGAAGGTGAACTAGATCAGCACGAATATCATGTTCTCATTAGATGTATAGGAAATATCTATTTTAGGCCAACAGTGAATAACTCATCAAAAAGGCACATATCAAAGAAATAAATAAAGCACATGAACTCTGAATAATATTATTAATTTTCCACTTTTTCAATATCATCCATACAAATGTATTATGTAGTTTATATATATATTTATTTAAGTCAAGAAAGTTGGTAAACATTTGGATTAATTGATTGCAAGCTCATTTTTCAGTATTTTAATACTCTAAGCTATAAAATATGGATACTATCTATCTTAAATTTTTAAAAAGAGGACAGTTTCATACACTTTACAGAGTATTACAACAGCATAATTAAAAAGTAATCTAATACATTCTTGAACAATTGATTACTTTTCAATAGTAGACTAAGGAAAATTATATGTGAATTCTTCACATGTATTTGTATAATAAAATTAGCAAATGACTATAATGTAGAAAAAAAGATAAACTGGAAGCCTAAAAACCCAACCTACATTTTGATTATAATAGAGTTTTGCTTTTCTCCATTGTTAAATAATCAGTAAATTAACTTGAATAAATGATAGATCGTTTAGTGTTCAAACTATGGATAGTTCCATTCACTTGATATTACTTGTTTGTATCTACGCATTATTGTTTAGGACTGCTTTTGATCAGCCTCTTGTTTGAATATGTGCATCCTGTGCGGACTGTCTCGATATTGTCTTAGGTCACAGGCTTTATAAGCAAAGATGGACAGTGGATAGTAGTGGAATCCACGACGAGTATTCCGTTTTATTTAGGACTCCTCAACTTGATGCACCTGCATCCCAGATTGAATATCAACTTTGGGATGTAAGTACATCCAGCTGACGAGTCCCGAATAGGACGAAACGTGCATCCTATCTTCCAATGCTAACCACTATTCATCTCTTCTAATATGGATAGTTTCATTTATTTTGGAATATTTATGAAAATAACTATTTTACAAGCTTTCAATAGAAACAAATCTATGTTATCGAAAATATTAAACTACATAATTATATCAATTAACTTGTAATTTGTTTTAATTGAAGTGCTGTGACGGAACAGGGCCTACCATATTTAACACGTCAAGAAAGACATAAATATGCAAATCTGTAAGTCAATCAATTTTTTTATTGAAAATGTTTTCTTTTTTAAAAAAATGAAAACCTCAGTGAATATTTTTAGTGAACATTTGCACTAAATATTGACTGATTTTACTTAATAGAATTACATTTGAAAACATTAGGAATAATACAGATTTTCTTTGATGGATAGAATAAAAATGGTATGGATTAATTTGAAATAGTTTTTTATGACGTATTAGATAAGGTATTACATCGCTTGAGAGTCAAAACTCAATTTTGGATTTCGTTCTATAGAAAGTATATTTAACTATTTCACTGTGTTGGTCAATATAGATATATATAGTTTAAAGCAAGTCGTATTAAAACACTAACATATCACTTGAGTAATAAATAGATGATAATTAATACCAAAGCTTGTAATTTACAAATTTGTAATGCTAGGACGGCTTCTGAGAACTACGACTGAGGCTCCAAAGGCTTTAAAGGAGCCGAAGAGTTTCAATGCAATCAGGAAGTGATTGAGCTTTCTAGAATATCAACGTGGCGTGCTACTAATCGACAGTAGCATAACCTGCCTCTTTGCCAATTGGCTGTATTATAATGTTGATATATCAAACGCTCATATCTATAAATAATCATGATTTTCTGTACATTTTGATTAGTACCCAACATATACTATTCTAGCTTTCTTCTGATTTGCGACTGTGAGGTTCTGTATGTTCGAGTGTCGTAGGTGTATACCGTATTCTACATTAATCAAGTAGCGAATATATAACTTAAATCCCCTTTTTTATATAAAAGTAGGTAGTTACATCATTTAATGACTCAGACTTCCAATATAAAGTGAAAAAATAGTTAATTTTCCGTATAACTATTGTCAGTAAATGTCTGTTTTATTTACTAGTTGATAGGAAATTCACAGTCAGATTTCTCGAGTAAAAAATTCTTCCAAATAAGCATTCACATATTTAAATACAGACTTTGCTATTTATGATCCGGAATCAATAGGACGTTGATGAACGGAAATTATAGGACTGATTGTGATGAAATTCTTCTTGCATTAAATAATCACTAAATCCATTCGTTACATTACATCAAACTACTCTGTGTATTATACAGTCCATATTATATCATTAAACATATACTAAACACTTATTCTTTAGGCGTGAAACCTTTTTAATCATATTGGATTGACAAAGTCCCATGTGCTGTGTAGCCCATATATTAAAATCACTTATTGTAGTAAGTGAATAAAAATCACCATACAGTTTTTCATTACCTGAGATTACCTGATACAGTAGATTAATCTGAGTGTAAGCGTAATAAAAATGTATTCCTACCGAACATATCAATCAATATCCAAATCTAGTTAAAAGTGATCATCCAGTTTATCCTCTCTAAAATGATTTCATAATCAAGGAATTAATATTCTTCAATATTCTTTTAAAAAAAGGAGCTAAATAACCATGTTTTTTAAATAAATACTATCATTTCATCAAACAACTGATTCACAATTAATATTTTTTCTATGTCAGATCAGTTGATGATAAAATAAAATTAAGAGCTGCACAAAAGAAAGCTGCTACACTAGAGTCTACTACAAATGCAGTCAGAATAACATTAGGCTTAATTTCAATGCTAATAATTGGCTATATATCAGATAGACGTGGTCGTCGTGTTGCTATAGGTATTCTACTCTTTGGAGAATTTTTACATATAACAACAGTGTGTAAGTCATTAATTTGTTTTTGATTTCTACTGATCATAATGTTTGATTTAATTTTTTGACAGACTAATGATTAAGATCTTCTAAATGTATTGTTAACTTATATTAGACATTAATAATCGATGCTTTTTAGTAGTACATCGTTTTCTATACAGTAATATTTATACAAATATTTGATATGATCATTTATAGTTGAATCCATCACTTTATGTAACCTAGACCACCATTGAAAACTTGGAAGCACTGGACGGCTATTTCGTCTTGGTATGAGAGTCATGAATTTAACAGCGGCCTGCTTGAATATCTGGGCTACCTGTTATTGCCATCTAATTATTTCAACAAGTTATCTGTTTTTCCATTTTTTTTGATCGTCTGATTATGTCCATTAATCGCATAACCTACACAGGCGCGTTTATGACCATTCGCTGCACATGTTACAAAAAACTACAATAAAAGACATCATGGTGGTTGGCAATATGCGTTGAAGAGAATGAACATTAATCGTATGTCGATTCCCGAGTCCCGATCACTAATTAACAAGATGGACTATCTTCAATTCCTACTAAGTCAAAATATGTGTCGTAATTGTGGTGTCATCACAATTCAAGAATCTTGGTTAAATGATTTCCAGGACGACTGCCTAGTATGCCTACATGATTTCAAAATTTATCGTCAGGATCGATCAAACAATAAAAAGAGGTGTGGCGGCGGTGTAGCTACTTTTGTAAACGTGAACTGGTGTCGATCTACGTTTGCGTGTTTCAAGTTTTCAAATTACTTTATCGACTGTCTAACTCTAAGATGCCGTCCAAAACATCTGAATAAATACAAATATGTTTATGTTACCAATATCTATGAGACTCCAGACTGCACATCATCTGCGCTGTCTGTTTTCGCTGATGAATTCAATGAGTTCGTTGTTACAGCCTTCAGCGATTCACTTTAAGTTGTATGTGGTGATTTAATTCATGTGACTGTAGCTTCCTTACATCACTAGGTCACCAAAATGTAGTAGATTTTCCTACTCGGTTGGATGCTCATTTAGATTTTGTTTTCATTAATGATGTAGGTATATATGTGACTAGAAAACGTGCCCCATTGTCTAGCTGGGATCGCTATATAATTTGTGTTCTACCTAAAGTATATGGAAAGCATGGGAAGATTACACTCCTAAATCAAATCAAGAAAGTCATATATAAGAATTACTCAGAAGAAAATATCCGAAATCTGAAAAACATGTTTCATACGACTAACTGGAAATTATTTACAGATGACTCACTGGAAATCATTTCTGATGTTATCACTTGTTACCTTAAATTCTGTTTTGATATTTGTTGTCCCACTAAAACTATTTTTGTAAGTTTTGATCAACTTACATCTTCACAACTAAAACGACTGCGGAGGGTGAAAGAAAGAATGTACAAGGAGAAAAACTCTAGTAAAGTTCGTAAGCTAAATGGTCTGACAAACCTCGAGATTAGTCGTCTCAACTCTATGTTTACTCAAAAACTCTTGTCTTGTAAAAACTCTTCAAGTATGTGGAAACTCTTTAAAGAACTTACAGGTGACAGACAAATTAGGAGCGATAACCAGCTGAATGTTTGTGACTTAAATAAGTCTTATGTACGTCAGTCATCTGATGTAATTCTCTCTTTATTCCCGGGTTTAAAGAATAGCTGTGTTCCTAGTTTCACTGAAACTGATGTCTAGAGATGTCTCCAGTCACTAAATTCATCCCGATGTTTAGGACCTGATGGTATCCCAAACCTCCTTATTAAGAAGTGTGCTGACGTCCTATGCTATCCATTCACTACTATCTTTAATAGATCCTTCTCTTCTAATTTCATACCGAAATTGTGGAGAAAGATGAATATAATCCCCATACCTAAGAAAGCATCTGGTGATAAGAATGTGAAATTTAGACCTATTGCAAATACTTCACCCTTCCTCAAAACAATGGAAAAACTATTGACACTTTCACTTCAGTCTGCGATAAAAGAGCACATTGACCAGTATCAGTTTGCTTACAGATGCAAAAGAAGCACCATAGATGCTGTTTTTCTTCTGCATCACAATATAGTGTTCAACTTAGAAATGAATAAAAAGTATGTTCAATGCGCTTTCCTGGATTATACTTCAGCTTTTGATTCTATATCAAGACAACGTTTACTTAACAAGTTAATCAGCATCAACACTTACAGCTGGATAACCAACTGGCTATGTTCCTACCCCTCTGGAAGTGAACAGTACACAGTGTTTGGAGGAAAGTATTCAGAGCCTCTACTGTCTTATGAAGGTGTACCACAAGGAGCTGTTCTTTCACCTCTTCTTTTCTCTTGTTTTCTACATGATTTACCATCTTCCACAGTAAACACTTTTGTGAAATATGCAGATGATCTCACTGTATGCATGCCTATCTCTTTTTCTTTACATCCCATAGAAATGAATGAGTTTTTGTCTCGTATTGATCGTTGGTCTGTTGTTAATGGTCTCATACTTAATCCGTCTAAATGTCAAGCTGTTAACTTTAGCATGAGACATGATCGGCATTTAAACACCATTTTGAGATCCCATGATTCTTGTGCCATTGGTGACTCTTTGATAAACACAGTGTCAACGGTCAACTGTCTTGGTGTTACCTTTTCCTCTGATCTCTCTTGGTCTTCTCACGTTTCATTGTTATCGAAGAAGGTTTACCGTATGACGTAATACATAAAGGGATTGAATGCTCTTGGGATCACTCATCATTTACTCTTAAAATTTGTCAATTCTTGCATATTACCTATTATTCTTTACTGTTCTCCATTAAATTTTCCCGGACTTTTGAGAAAAGACTTTTCTGTACTGCGGAGAGTGCTGAAGGCAGTTAGCAAGGCATGTGGTGAATCTTTCGAGATCATAATTAATATGGTTGTGGATAGACATCTAAAGTCATGCAAACTCCTGGCAGGTGTTATTTTATCAGATACTAACCACCCCCTTTACTCGTATCTTTCTCCTTGTATATCTTCTGGTAGAATGAGGCGAAATTACATTAAAATCTAAGCACGCAAGCAAAAGTATAAAAGTTTAATAATTCCTTACCTAGCAAATATATTCTGTGACGAACAAGTTGTTAGATTTAACCTAGTCAGTAACCTACATTCTTAACATGTATCTCATTTGGAAAGTTGTACAGTTTTCCATATTTTTTTATTAACCTTTTTTTGTCTTTGTTTGTTTCTTTTCGTAAAAGAAACTTGTTGAAATATTTTGTGCTGAGAATTCTATATTGTACCAAAATATAATATTGAATAAAGCCATAAAATAAATAAACTATTAAAACCACTACAATCTACACATACCCCCATACTACTGATCATTTATCACTGAACTATAAGAACGTACTGTTATGTAAATGTAAATGTTCTTCTGCGGAATAATTTTTAAATTAAAATTTGATAATATACTGTCCTTGCAAAACGTTTTCAACTGAACAAGTTAGTTTATCAAATATCCAAAGTCTTATCGTGATAGTAAGGATATTTGTTTTTTAAATAAATGACACACTAGAAGAATAGGGAATTATCTTAATGTGATATGAATGAATGTTGAAGGGACTCTATGGTCACACAATATGTATATGTAAGATAAAATGAAAAGTGGAATTCTAAGAAATATTACCAGTTTAACTTTGTTTATTCTGAAAATATTTTTTCTCGTCTGCCTTCTTAAGCTATAGAAGTTAAATAATTCAGCATTATCTAGTGATATTTAGTCAAAGATGAATATATTGTTATATGATAGGATCCTTCTGTCTCAAAACATTCTCATAAATGAAAATAATGTATTTATTCTGTCTCTGTCCACTTCACCATTTATACCATCATATGAAATACTGACGTGTTTCATTGATATTTAAATCTTCACACATAAAGGGATAGTTCATATTCTTAATGCACACTCCAACCCACAAAGGTACTTTTATATCTAACTATTATTTCAATTTATTTATACATTACTGGTCTTGGGAATATTATTTGACGATGACCAATATTTCAATCCCTATCCCGTTCAATAGAAACATCTGGAAATTCTCGAAGTGCACACAATGTATAACTTTCTCAGTTTCTTTTAATACAGCATAAGAAATTAGTTTATGTTATCAGAGGCCTGTATCTAGATACAACTGTCTTGATACACTCTACGGTTATTACCTTCCCCGTGACTGAGTAAAGGAGAATTGTTTGGAGTAGGATTAGCAACCCAGCCTCGTACAAACGAACATCACTACAAAAACTCTAAGCAAAAAATCATTTAAACTAATTAAACTCTGCAAAGGGAGTTAACTGAGCGTCATCTTGAAGAGTTGTGACAGTTCACTAGGAAAGCCTAGATTCTTAGGAAGCCATTTAATCAGATGCCCCTTCTGACAACTGGAGCAATGATTAATAAAAATACGTAGAATTTCACGACAGTGTTGGAGACTAGAAGAGTTGTTCAATTAGCAGCGAATAAGTAAAACTCAATGCATACAATCTGTATAAAAAGATTAAATTCAGAAGAGCTGTTATTACATTTCGGTCAAGAAGAAGAAAATATCCTACGCACAAGAAGTTGCACTATTACTTTACAAAGAAACACAAAAACTGTTTATATGATTAGAAATGCAAGGCTTCAGGATCGTAAAAACAACCTTTGAAGCGAAAAGGAAAGGATTTCTATGAATGTAACAATGCTAAAGAATCACCAACGATGGTACAGAAGATGATAAAGACCAGATAAGTGAAAATCAGTACAGTCCTAGAGATGTGCTTCGGGAAAGACCTGATCATTCTAATAGGGAACTTGAACGTAATAGTTGGTATGGGCAACACCAGTTGCAAAGATATGATGAGATGACGTCTACTGTGAGAAAGAAGAATGGCGAAAGAATGACAGATCGGTGCGCGTTTAACAATATTGGTACAAGTGTTAGCAATTTTCTTCACAAATTCATCCACAAGTCACATGGATTTTACCAAAACACACTACGAAAAATAAAATTGATCACATCTGTATCAATGAAGTCTTATGTTCCATATAAGACGTATAAACAAAGGGAGGATCTGTCATAGCTTCAAATCATTACCTCGTGCTGATCAAGCTGAAATTCAAGCTAAAGAGGCATTAAACGGCTGGAAAACCAGAATTTCCAATGGTAACAAGCTTAGCGAGTTCACGATATCTATCAGCATTAATTTCCAAGTCCTATAAGATATAGTAGGACACAAAGAATCCTTTATGAATAGAAAATGGAAAGAGTTAAACAACCGATAACTTCAGTATGGCAGGGGCTGATGTGTTTCAAAAAGCACCAGCATAAATAATGGATCTCCATAGGCAGCCTCAGCAGGATTCAATGAACGATAATCAAGAAGACAGTAGTCAAAAACACGCAAACAGGAGCCAAGAAAGCGAAGCTACAGGCTGAATATACAGAAGCATTACAGTCGAACGTTAGGACAAATAAGCGCAAATACGCAAAAGACTTGTCAACCACAAGAGAACAAACTGCGAGCTAAAAAAAATATGAGACAACCAAAGAGAACCAGAATTTAGCAGCGAGATATGCTGTAATAGAGAGATCAACCAAAAACCAAGAAGGTAAACGATCAAGTTCATGAGAAGTAAAACCAATGGGTGGAGCACTTTGAAGAGCTCTTGTGGGGAATAGCATGGCTAAATTCACTGGCCATCGAGGCACCATGCACAAAACTTTCTACAGGTGGAACCCTACCAAAAATAAAAGTAATATGCAATGCTATAATAAAAATCAGGAATGGCAAACTTTAAAATTGGTCACCATACTTACTGAAACAATAAAGTCGGATATAGGGGCAACTATAAAAGTTCTTCCACGTTCTCTTCAAAAATATTTAAAGGCTAAAACAAAGTAAAATCAAAGAGAGATGTCCCATCAAGATATCAAAGAAAAATGCTTTTATTAGATGTGTAGACCACAAAAGAATCACACTGGTGCCAATACCAATGGAAGTTTAATTTAAAGTATTGCTCAACATAATAAAAGATTCAGTATACACTTAACTTTGCTATCAACGAGCTGGCTTTCATACAGACAGATCATATTTTAACCACATGGCAATGCAGATGACCATTGTTAAACATTCAATCGAATGAAACTCATCACCATGTATCAACTTCCTTATAATGAGAAACATTTGACAGAGTGAACAGGAAGGTCTTGTGAAATCTTAGTCAACACTAACATCCATGAGCGACTAAATTGCAAAGTCATACATCTTCAGCAACTTGTTGATGCATTCCAAGTAATTCTTAGTATCAGAAAAGGATGACTACTCCCATTTTTCTCTTTCTGTCAACTGTTGTCTGGATTATGAGACCTTCACTTCGCACGGAAATCACGACACGCAGTGAAAAACGTGGACGCAATTGGATAATTTTCACTTTGCAGATAAATTGTCCCTCACACAATGAGGAAACTATTAGACTATATTACAAGACAAATACTAATTTGGAAACAAGGTATACCAATGCACATATGGAGTCAGGAATTGGAGGTAGACATACGGACAATGAGAACTATTTTGAAACAAATTGAAAGAAGAGTTCAGGACACGACTGGATATCCTTGGTAAGCTACCTATGCCTCACGAAGACCAAAAATACTGACAATAAGGATATCTAGATACTATTTCTGTCAACAAAACAATCGATTTTGAAGCTTTGAAATCAAATATGAAGGTTTATTTGGCAATGTAAAAATCGTATTTTGGAGTATCGCCAATTTTTAACAGTGCACTTATTGACACTTTTGCCACAAAGTTAAACATAGCACCTTGCTAAATTCTTTGAGACATCTCATAATGTGTTATTCTATTAATTCTATTTTATCACCACTTTTAAATTACAATTATACATGCATCCAGTAGGTGGTGTTAGTAATTAAAATTACTAAATAATTACGCTTTTTATGCTTCATTTACTACAATATCATCATGTAATTTAATTTCTTTGATCATATATTTTTTTGAATTAAAGCTTTAATAGTAACATTTAATTTGAATGTATGGATATTACTCCTTGCTGGCTTTTTTGAGGCTTTCTTCGGTGGTGGTCTTTTATCAATTTATGCTCAAGTAGCAGCAATTGTGGTTGATATAATAAGAATTTCACACGCTAAAGCAGCTAAAAACGGTCTGACTGTTACAACAGAAAAGATTAGCCATGATACATGGATTTGGTTTACTGTGTTTGAATCTATAGCTTTACTGTGTGCATCAAGTGGAAGCCCGATCGGAGGTTTGTATACTCAACTTATTTATATGTCACAAAATGTTTAATTTCTTTGCTCATTTAGTATTTCAAATCTTTTTAGTCTAGAGTCTGTTGAATATAAACGTTTCATTTAAAAAAAGAACAATGGAAAGAAAACTGCTGTAGACATCAAGATTCTAACACCATTCATTAGATGTGAATAGTATTTTATTAAGTTGTAACGATAAAAAATAAAACGCTTAAATTAAAAAATGACACTAGCTTAACAAAAAAGACAATACTAGTTTATTTCTTAATTTACTATTACATATAACATAGTTAATTTTACATCTCGCATATGAATTTGAAAAGACAAATTATACTAGTATGAGCACAGTTCTTTTCAGAAAAAGAAACATGTTTTTGGTGAAATTGAAACCGAAATGGAGAATCAATGTATATGTAAGTCAATGGTCATAAGCCATCGTGTTACAAACTCAACAAATAAACCAGTGAATTCATTTGGTATTGTTTGCTTGTATCTTCGCATTGTTGTTTAGGACTGCAATCGACCAGTCTCTTATTGGAATATGTACATCCTGTGCGGACTGCCTCGATATTGACTTAAGTCACAAGCTTTATAAACAAAGATGCATAACCAGGTAGCTATCAGGACTCAGTAGCCAAATGGATAACGCGATGGCGTTGAAGCCAAAGGTATTGGGTTCGAGTCCTGGAGTGAACATCAACTCTGGGATGCATGTACATTCAGTTGACGAGTCCCAAATAGGACGAAACGAGCGTCCTATATTCCAATGCTAGCCACTATCCATCTTTGTAGATAAATCAATGTTTTCGAAAATTCTCCTACTTATTTTTATAACTGACCAATTAAAATTTTCATTATCATCATTGGTGTCATATATAAAGTTTTACTTATTATTAGGAACATTGATCTATCAATTTGGTTTCAACTCTGTGGTTATCACAGGTGCAATTTTATTTGTACCAAGTTTAATAATTTTATGCATTTTTCCGGAAACCAATAATACATATGGATTACCTATTAATGTTGAAGAAAATAAGGAAGAAAATTCTACTCATAATAATAAAGATAATGATTCTAATGAAACTCAAACAATTGAAATTCAACCTGAATGGAAAGAAAAACTAGTTATGAGAATAAAAGTAAGTTCGTTAGTTATGATCAATAATTATTGGTAATTATACGATAAAAAATATTTCAATAATTTTATTCATAATAAAACTTAAACGGCATGACAACAACATAAATCAATTTTAATAAATAAAATTGAAATAACTTGCGATATTTTACTTGTAGTTAAAATGATATACAGTCTGAATGACGTCATACAAATTTTCATTTTTATATAATAAATATAATAATTTCAACTTGAATATAACATATCTTATTACTGTCAATATGATAGATATCAATAATGGTAATTAGTTACATATTAACAATATATTATACTCTAACGCTTACTTCATTACATAAAAACAATTGTTTCTAAATGTATATGACTAATAGATAGTTTAATATCTAACTACTTAATACATACTTAAGTATGTCTATTATAGTAAATATAATGAAATCTAATTATAAAAAGCTATTTATTCTGTAAATGGATTAGTGTTGAAGTGTACTTTTATTGAAATTGTTGAACTTTTCTTCCCAGTGTAATAACAGCTGGAGAATAACTGAACGCTTGCTAATCATAGATTGATTCAGTATTATATATTTGATTACAGTGAAAAATCCAATATCATAATAATTTAATATTACACTAAATAATCATATGTAATATACATCTTAGTTTTATATATTTTAAAAATATATAAGGAAACATTCTCTAGTAGTGCTCACCTAATCATTATTTTCAACCACTTCGAAGTCCATATGGAGATCGGACTGATCACTCATTCTATCTTAACATTGAATATATAAAAAGAGAAGTCAACTTGAATTGAGAGTACGACTGAGGCATTGAAGAAAGGTTTCCTTTTGATGCCTAAACAGACTAGTTTGAAAATACCCATAAGGTCTGGCAGGGGAGAAACCAGAGGGTAAACCATAAGCTGTGCCGTAACCATTTCAAAGTGTTCGACACTAAACCAGCTTGTGCTAAGAGCGTGAAGTGAGCACATAGTCTTTGACGACTTATATACTGAGTTGGACGCTTGATATTTATTCAGTGAAAATGCTACTGAGTTTAAAAACTTGGAGAGTTCGTATCTATGCGTATGTGTATACCATGGAGTGTAAGGCCTTGGTTTATTCATTATTTATTATTTATTTATTTGAACACATAAATATTGGTACAGGGGGGCACCAAATATATATGCGCCACACAAAACAGTGATAATTAGAAGAGAAGGAGAAAAGAGAAGAAAAAAAAAAAGAAGAGTAATGAACGTGGGGAATTATAAAAAATAAGGAGAGAGAGAGAGAACAATGGTGGGAGAAAACGGAAAGGTACAATCAGAACAGATCTTTCAGTTAAGCAAGAATACGACCACTTTTTATGAAGAAAGTAAAAGAAGGTTACAGCAGGATCGCCACTGGCTTCTATTCTGAGCCATATCTGATAACGTCTCTAGCCACTGCGTTACACCATCTCTCGGACCCCAACCAGGGAGTCGTGAAGGACCAACATAAGCTAGCCCTTTGCAGCTTTCTTTCATACCACGACACCATGTCATATACTGACCACCTCTCCGCTTTTTCCAACCAGTCCCAGAGTCGGCAAATAATGCACGTCGAGGAATTCTCTGGGACGACATTCGTAGAACATGTCCAAGCCACCGAAGTCGGTGTTTCAAGATGGTGACACCAATTTCATTATCGTCTCTGTGACCGAACACTCGATGCCGAACCTCTGCATTACTGACATGGTGTTGCCACTGGATGCCAGCAATCCTTCGGAGGCAACGATGATCGAACACAGAGAGTCGTCTAACATCCTCAACTCGGAGAGGCCAGGTTTCACAAGCATAGAGCAAAACTGCTCTCACCGTCGCGTTGTAGATCCGACCTTTTACAGCCAGACTAACATCACGAAGGCGCCAAAGATGGCCCAGATTGGCATAAGCCGCTCTGGCTTTCACTATACGTGCATTGATCTCATCACTCACGCCACCACCAGCACTTATGCAGCTACCTAGATACACGAACTTCTCGACTACTTCTATCTGCTCACCATCCAGAGTGAGTACAGGATTAGAATCCTGCCAGTCTTGTAGAAGTACTTTGCACTTCGAAGGTGCAAAGCACATACCATACCTACGGACACTGATTGCCAACTGATTAAGTGCGGATTGCATAGCTTGGGCATTATCGCACAGTAAGACAATATCATCCGCATACTCAAGGTCGAGAAGTCTTTCTCCAGGCAACAGATCCACACCACCATTACTTACATCCGTCAGAGCTGTTTCCAGAATGTCATCGATGGCAAAGTTGAAGAGGAATGGTGAGATTGGGCAACCCTGCCTAACTCCACTGCTTGAATGGAATAGTGGAGAAAGGTGGTTGTATGCCCTCACTCTACCTGAGGTGTTTGTATATAAGGCTTTTAGGATGTTAATAAACTTCTCAGGCATACCCCTCTTCAATAGACAATCCCAGAGAACAGTTCTGTCCAACGAATCGAAAGCAGCCTTGATATCAAGAAACACTACGATTGTTGGCCTTTGATAAGTATGGCGGTGTTCTAACACTTGGCGGAGGGTGAAGATATGATCAATACATCCTCGACCAGAACGAAACCCAGCCTGCTCCTCGCGAGTCAATCCTTCTCGGGTTCTGAACAACCTACGAAGTATGACGGAAGCCAATAGCTTGGACGCAATCGGAAGTAGACTTATCCCCCGATAGTTGTTACAGGAACAACGTGAACCCTTTTTAAAGATAGGGACAACTATCGACTCATTCCATGACGTTGGTACACTCTCTAGTTCCCAGATCTTTGTAAACAACGTCGTCAGTCCTTTAGTCAGAAAGTCACCACCATCTTTAAAAAGAGCCGGGGGTAAGTCGTCTGGGCCTGGTGATTTGTAACGTTTCAAGAGTTGGAGTTCCTTGCGGACTTCCGCCTCATTTGGTGGATCAGTCGTCACCGGCCAAGGAGGGCAGGACAGTCTGACCGATGTTGCCGGAGCAGCAGGCCAGTTGAACTGCCCTTCAAAGAATTCTGCCCATCGTCCAAGACGTCGATGGATGTTAGTGATTGGCGTTCCGTCATCCTCGCAGATTGTTTCGCTCACACCAGACTTCTTGCTGCCGGTGGCTCGGATGAGTTGGAAGAGCTTCCGGTAATTACCAGATGCAGCTGCTGCTTCCAACTCACTGGCACGCTCCGACCACCAGGTTTCTCGGTCCTTACGCAAACTTTGCCCGATTTCATTACGTAACAACCTTCGTCTGTGGTCAAACTCACGGTCACCCAGAGTAGACCGACGGGCTTCAATCAGTTGTAAGGAACCAGAAGAAACCCAGTGCTTGTAAGCGGGACGTTTCGCAATCCCACAGCTGACTTGACCCGCCATTTTCATGGCGTCATGCAATTGCAACCAATGCTCATCTATACTTTTCGGTGGAATGGTAGCTAGCCTAGAAGCTAGCTCGGTTCGGTACTTACTAGCAACAGAATTTGCAGCCAGCTTGCTAACATCAATCCTTTGGTGGCGGTCACTTCGTTGTCCACTGAAAAGTAAGGTAAGATTGGCGCAGACCAGAGCATGATCAGATTCCAGTTAGGTACTCCAAAAGGAGCGGCAGTCTTGTACACAACCGCGCCAGCGGTAGCTGATCGCGATGTGATCAATCTGAGTCCAGGCTTGAGATGCAGAAGGGGGACGCCAGGTGGCACATCGGCGATGACTGTGCCGAAAGTTAGTGCTAGCCAGAAACAGGTTGTGGTCTGTGCATAGTTGCAGTAGACGTTCCCCGTTATCCGTCCTGCGACCAACGAGTCCCCATCGGCCACCTAAACGACTCTCTTCTGTGCCTAGACGCCCGACCTGAGCATTCAAGTCTCCAGCTAGTACTACAATATCTGTCGAACGCACTTTCTGGAGAAGAACAGATAACTGGTGGTAGAACTCATCCTTAATTGCATCCGGGCTGCAATCTGTCGGGGCATAGGCGGAGATGACGAAAAGACATCGTTTCTCACGCCGATTTCTTCTCACTCTGATGGTACTTTCTAATCTAACAGCACATAACCGACTGTTAATGGGGATCCAGTCGACTAGTGCTGCCTCAGCTCTTGCGCTTAGTGCGACACCAACGCCAGCAAGACCAGACGAAGATGCCACAGGGTCCCCGGATAAACGCACATAAAACAAGCTTTTTGAAGAGACAGATGGAGAGCGAACTTGTAGTACTTCACCAGAGTCTTGAATACGGGTCTCGGATAGACAACACACATCAATATTAAGACTTTCCAAAGACATAGCCAGCCCTATCTGTTGTCCGACCTGCATAAGTGTGCGAACGTTAAAGGCAGCCAGTTTGAATGGTGCGCGTGGTTTCAGAAAGACTGCTTCAATACTCTTATTCGATGGTAACATACAATTTTCAAACCAGGCAGTGACTCGAGAACGTTTAGATAAAGCTGAATTTTTACCATAGGCGAGCTGCTGTCTGAGTCGAAACGGATACAAAAAGTAGAAATAGGAGATAGTGAGTAAATGACGTAGTAAATAATAATAATAATAATAATAATAGTAATAATAATAACAATAATAATAATAATAATAATAATAATAGTATCAGTCATTTCAATGTTAGTCAGAGAAGAACGAATATTTTCCGTAAGCGAATATTTCATCATGTTTTGGTGTGTGGGCTGAGATACTGCCCGGGTGCCCAAACCGAAGCAGGTGGTTTTCTTAGGGGGCCACACCCCGAGCCTTTGACCTAAAGGTCTAGTCCACAAGGCAGTGGAGCATCGTGAGGAGATGCAGTCCCATGGAAGCCGGTGACCAAAAGTTGGTTCATACGCCATTTGTTCCTTCAGGATACTGGAGCCCATGTGCACCATAGAATTGGGATCCGGTTATAGCGCCGGACATTCGCTTTTCGTCCTCTCATTTTCGTAAACAACACCCCCGCCACGAGAAGGCAGTGAGTAGGACTTCCCTGGCAGAGGCTGTATACGCGTGGCCGTGTGAGAGTATTTCGAGAGGGAGGGCGAACCCTCCCCGCTCTCGGCCGTACCAGGGCATCGCATAATTAACAGCGCAAAGTTCTAGGCCAATATGTTTTTGTGGGAGGTGTGGGCATGCCTACACTTTCCATAATTACATGTACAGTATACTAGCAACCACACTTATCTATGCCAATATCTATATCACTGGAATATATGCATTTTTGATACCTGTATCGGAATATATCTATATGAAGCATGCTTGGAGATAGCTTCAACGTTTCCCCACTAGTAAACCCATCAGTAGCTCATCAGCGATTTTAGTTTGCATGAAAGCTTCCAGAAGTGTAGGCTAATAAAAATACGTCTGCACTACTTAGTGTGGTTCAGTTTAATTACCCATTCTACTGATATCCTAGTCCTTATATACACATATTCTCCAGTGTGCAGTCACACTGTTTTTACAAAGCTCTTCTCCACTCGAAGAGTCATAGGACTTCCTCACTTTGTTGCGTGGGTGACTGAAATATAATTTTGTAATGAGTTCTACTTGTAGGACTATTTTTCTATAAAATTTAACTGATTCATGTTTTCAGATGTCATTGCTTTTTGTTTGTTTGATTAATAAAGAGAGAAGAAAACAGACCATCAGATTCAGTGTTCACGCTGAATTTCTCATGCATTTAATAGTACCATCCATACATATAATATCAAGACACATCGGCAGAGGTTGGAGTTAGACATTAACACCGTTGGATGTCATTTTAGTGGTCTAGAGTTAAAGCGTTCATGCCCAAGACTAAAGGTCTTGGGTTCGAGCCCGGCGTGAGGGTTCGCGGGTGCGCACTGTTTACGAGTCCCGTACTAGAACAAAACGGTCATCCAGTGCTTTCCAAGTTTTCAATGATGATCTAACATTGATCAATTCATGATTCCAATTAAAAAGAGGTTAGTTTTGTTTCTTAAACAACTGAAAATTAATCAGCCGAGATGTTTAGGCAGCCCGTCACACTATACTTTCGAAATCTATTCATTCTAATCGATCTTGATTTGATTATTCATTCTATACCTGGTAAATTTTCTGAAGGTATTATATATACATATATCAAAAAGTAAACAGAAATGCATTTTTGGTAGAAATGAAATGAAAATTAAACTTTATTAATCAGTTGACTGATACAGACAAATGGATATAATTTTATAGAGTAGATCTGATTAGCAAATTGAATAAGAGTTATAAATTGCAACCAAAACATACACAATACTTTTAGTCTACTTCTCATTTATTTCTTTTCCCATCAATCTTCAACAAATACTGTACTATAGAGTATAAGACATTTGGATCCAATCTTAATTGTAATTATAATAATTATCGTACTGCTAGCGATTGGTGCTATGGCAGATCTTCATTACATTGTTATTTATCTCATGGGTTCACCATTCTTGTGGAATCCTCAACAAGTAGGAATATATATGTAAGTAGGTTTGTAATATTTTTCATATTAAAATACACAAATCATTTAATACAACTAATAAATCTGAAAATATGATACCGAAATGCTATTTAAAAATAGAAATTTGTGAACCACTTCTTCTACGGTCCTCCACCGTTCTCCTTTTTGAATAGTCTTTTTTAATGAATCGACAAAACGATTCCCGCGACCATTCAGTTAAAGGTGGTATGAAGAAGACCTGAAATGATTGATATTGTTTGCTCTGCAGAATTTATCAAACGGGGCCGAAGTGGACTGTGTTCCATTATCTGAAACAATAGCATTTGATGGTCCGAAACGGTTAAACACTTCTGTAATTTTTTCATCGTGATACGGGTAGACACACTGGCCATTATGAAGACTTCTGGCCATTTTAAAAATGCATCGACGATGACCAGGAATTGTTTTCTCCGAGAAGGTCCAGCTAAATATATGTGATGACTGTGCATAATTGTAGCAGCGCCTTGTAATCCAGCGCAGAGTTTTAGCTTAGCCAAAGTCAGAACAAGTAAGCTAATTGGTTTGATAAACGTTATGTGTTTCTAAAACGCAAATTAGCACTTTTAGTATACAAAATAAACAATTAATACAGTCTATTAAACAGGGAAAACAGAGAAATAACATATCAAAAATTAACCAGAGGATAGGCAAAAGGAGTCAACGAACTTAATATCGTTCATGATAAACATAAAATTATAATTGGTGAGTAAGCAAAACATAGTCATACAAAGTCAAAGAAAGTTAACGTAGTGGTGAACATTTTCTGTCGTCATCGGTGGGTTCATTTATCGATCACACTTTACAATCATGTCAAAGAATGACCGTAATTTGTCAACATTTTATGATACTAGCATTTGTCTAATTTTATTTATATTCTCAGTATCGACTCTATGACCGTCTTCGTCGATCACGAACCTCAGATACATGATAGTCTGTATAAAGAAATTTCACTCATCTTCATGTAAGTGGAGGCCAGATTGCCTAAATTTTGACAAGACACTATCAAGTCTGAAAAACACAGTTCCTCATAAGTAGCTCCAGTAAGAATGATGTCATCCAAGTAGGCTTATGTAGATAAAAATTTTCACATTATTTTTAAATTAACATGTACAATATGGATAGTAGCTAGAAGTGGAATCCAGGACGCGCGTTTTGTTCTACTTGCGACTCGTAAGCTGGATGTAACTGAATTTCAGTGTTTATGTTCATTTTGGGACTGGAACCCAATATCATTCGCTTCAAACCTCATCGCGTTATCCACTTAGCTACTGAGTCCTGATAACCACTTGTTTGTGCAATGGGGTGAATTAGTCCCAGAGTAAACATTAACTCTGTGATGCAAGTACATCCAGCTGACGAATCTCAAATAGGAAGAAACGCGCGTCCTGGATTTCACTGCTAGCCACTGTCCATCTTTGCTTATAATGCTTGTGAATTAGGGTAATATCGAGGCAATACGCACAGTATGCACATATGCCAATAACAAACTGATCAATTACAGTTTTAAACGTCAATGGGAAGATTCAAGCGGAACAATATCAAGTGAATTTAACATGTACAATGTTTTAGCTTTATTCATCCTGAATTCATTGATTTTTTTCAGTGGTCTCAGTGATTTCATATCATCTGTTGTGGGGATTACATATACAATTATTGTTGTTAAAATTCGTGAACGAAAAAGTATGAAACAAAAATTAGTAACAAATGATAATCAGACATCTCAAGAAGAACATAAAAATGATAAATCACGAATAGTATTTTTACGGAATATGAGATTACTGATATTTACATTGGCGGGTACATTATTATTAATGATAATAAACAAAATAATGATGGGTCTTGCACATCAATTTACACAACAAACAGCAAGTACTATTGCTTATATGGGTCAGTGGAAAATATTTGTTTTTTCTAAAAATCGTTTTTCTGAATAGAAATTGTAATTAAGAGTATTAATTGGACATTCTCTCCACTGTATCAGACGTTATGATATCTTCAAATTAACTAAGACATCATTATATATTTTAAGAGATAATATACAAGCATATTTATAATTAATTGACAGTTGAATAGTTTTGGGAAGCTAACTTATAATTATATCTTTGAAGTATATTAATCACTCTACATTTATTGTCAGCTTAGATAAACGTTATATAATATATGTTCTATGGTAAGAAAGTAAGACATGAAGAGTGTTTTGATAAATATTTTGAAATATGGTCTGTTGTTGTTGATGGAATGGACTCGTATTATCTAGTTTTTAAATATTCGTTAATAAACTGTAGGTCTGACAAGCAAGTACTCAACTAGATTTAATTTATATTATCAAGCTAAAAATTGTCAAACAAACTGGACTTCATTTGAAAATAGTAATGCTCTTCAAAAATCAAGAGTTTGATCTTCCATAGAGTCGTGGAGTCTTAAAGAGGGACAGAACAGTCGTCCAGTGTTTCCTGATTTTTACGGTTGGTTAACTAAAATCAGAGAAAGCAAAAAATGACAATAGTTTTAGAACTCGATAATTGATTGCCTACTCTTCAGCCACATGATGGCTAATTATTTAAAATTATATCATGTAATGTCGCAAATCGATTGTAGTCAGACATGTAGAGTATTGGATGATGTTTAAGTGGTCTAGAAGTCAAGCTCTCACTACGGAACCTGGAAGGGACGGGCTCTGAGAATGTTAGAATCATAGACGAGCACTCCAGTGGAGTCCAGTATTAGAACCTAACAGCAATACAGATCTTCTTGATCTTCAAAGAAAATTAGCTATTATCTCTAATTTTTTTAACAGCTGCCATTCCTCGACTATCAAAAAGTTTCATTTCACCCGTTGCGCGATCGATGTTCGCACTATGCACACCACCAAACAATCAAGGTAAGTGTCAATCAGTATTTTGTTAAATTATACCAACTGGAAGGCTTTTTCCTGTTTTACGTCATACATGTTTATAAGATCTACACAAAGCCACCTCGTTACAACAATGCGAGTTTTATAAGATTGTACGGTTTACATTGATATTGTGGGCTAATTTCTTCATAAAAGCTGCACAACAATGGTTATGAATTTCCCTCTCATCTAATAGTCAATTGTAATAATACAATATTGTAATGCATATTTTGATATTTTGTGATCGGATAGATGAAAGATTTTTATTAATTTAGATACTACTTAAATAACACATGGAAACTGTTTATATTACCAAGAATAATTTACCTGATTATTAATGATCATAAGATGTCTTATTTTAATATTGTCTTGTACGTAAATTATCACGATCAACTCAAATGTTCAAATTGCTCAGTCTACTTTTATTTACATTTAGCCCTAATTCTTAACAACTTTCCAGATGTTGTAACTGAATTTTTATTCGAACCAAAACGGAAACTGTATTCACAACATCAAGTAGTATTGTTTGATGAACATCGTCTTATTTGCGAAATGCTATCCTGAGTATATAAAACTGTAGATTGTAGTTACTAAGTTAAGCATTATCCATGAAAATCATTTAGTGTGAGCATATTTCCTTAAAACTTTTCCAATATTGATTCACATCATTCATATTTTATTTTCATAGACTTGTTTCTGAGACTATGATTCGTACTACAGTTAAACGTTGAAATTAGCAAAGATGCTTTTAACTTCAAATCAAATAATAAGTTAATTTTGACTTCTTAATATGAACAATAAACGTTTGACTGGGAGTTGTAGTTCTATGCTTACACTAAATCTGAGAATTGTGATACTAAACATTGAATTTTGCTTTTATGCAGGAATGATTCAATCATTTGGAGGATTCGTTGCTCGTATTGGATTTGTCATTAGTTTCATCAGCTTACCAGCTCTATATGCAGCCACCGTTACTATATTTCCTCCGATTGTATTTCTTGTTGTTAGTGGAATCTTGGTTTTAACAATCATAATTGATCTGTGAGTCACTACGATCAGCTATAATTTATATATATATATATATATATATATATATATATATATATATATATATATATATATATATATATATATATATATATATATATATATATAAATGATAAATTACTGAATACAAATCGTTCTCTCTGAAGTTGGAGGAGATCTCTTTTAGAGAACTAAAAAGTAAAAAGTGACTAAACGTTCCTTGTAATTCGCATCCTAACTCCAAGTGAAAATGATTCACAGTAGTTAATCTTCAAAAATATTGATAAGCTTATTCACTTTGTATTTTACACTAAACCTATAAATCGTGGAGGTTTTTCAGTGAAATTTAACAATTTAGTTCATAATGTTTATCCTTTTTTTAATTGAGGTTTTTCGATAAAACCATTTGATAGACAAATTAATTTATTAATTATGAGTTCAACTAGTATCCATATATTGCAAGTTCAAATTTGTGTGTAATGATTTTACGAATAAGTATTATTTAAGATTACCAGTGGCTTAACAATTTGAAACATTTAGATACTTCATTTGAATTTCATAATACAAAGTTGGTAACAATATACATTACAGTTTAATGGGATCATGGCTAGGTAACGATGTACATATTAACTCAGCTTTAGAATAAACATCTATATATACCTGTAAAAAAGAACTATTTAAGCAATGGGGTTTACATAATCTCCCCACACAAATTAGTGTTTTGTAATATCTGTTGTATTGTGCCTATTGATTCTTATGAAAACATTATGTGATATCAGGTGGATGGTAACAGCTTGTTTACAAAAATGTGTCTCACTTTATAGTCTATTGTTAGAAATCAATACAATCTGACTGAGATTTGATAGGTGGATTATTAGGAGTATTTAAATTATTATACTAACTAGGCAATCCCGAAATAGTGCAATTTACAGCATGTAGAACTAGATAAGCTTAAATGAACATATTGTATTTAAAATTTGAAATCAAGCAGTCATCAAGTACAAAGGAATTATCAGTTCATACAAGCACCACAGTAAGTCGCCTTTAAATTTCCGTTTTAGTGTATGTCGTTTTGGTGCTAGCGAAATTCATTGATGTGATTTCCTCGGTTTTCTTTATCCACTTGGCAAATAACTAGGATCTTGAAGTGACTATATGAGGATGAGAAAACATCATACATAGATTTAGCACATTTAAATCAATACCATAGACTCATAAAAGTTAGAAGGATGGAATACAGTTCAATAAAATACTTACATCACATACCTTCTATGGATATGTGTATCAGGCCAACAACATGACCTAGGGCATTATTCATACGATTAACCAATATAATACAACATGAGAAGGTCCATTTGGCTCAATATATCATAATCATTATATACTTTTCATAATGTTATATGTTTATGTACTAATAATAATAATTTAAGGGATAAGAGATAAGAGTACGGAAATATCAAAATCAACGTCATTATCTGATTCTGTGGATGAAATACATGTATTTTTCTCAGTGAAAATCTTTTGCTGAATAACCCCATTGAAAAAGTTTCTTATGAAATTTAACTTATTACATTCCATCTTAACAAGTGACTAAAAACTGTAAAATATTACCCATTTCAGCATATCATATTTACTTTTCATCTTTTAAAGGTCACTACTACCACTTCTGAAAACAAGCAAAGTTCATCATTAGGAAGATAGACATATCCAGTTAACGAAATGAAAGCTAACGAGTATTTCTTTCTATAAAATCCATCCGATATTGTTTACCTGAGATTTTACAATCATATCCAGAAATTTTATTTTGACACATGTATAAATATTTTTATTTTTGATAATGATGATAAACTGTATTATAAACATTTTAATGAAGCTTCTGTCTTGTTCTTATTTATAAGTACTTCAGCTCTGTTTGATAAAATATATTCTTTACCTTAAAGAAAGAGAAGTTATACAATTTGGATACATTTTTTCAGGCATTTCTAGCAATCATAATTGTAACTAAATTGTGATGATTTGCACTTACAGTTTTGTTTGTAATGATGATGCAATAGGTCTATAATATTATATTAAAATGTAATCATCCTTTAACTAACAAAAATACCATTTACTAAACTTTGTTTAAACCAATTGTTGTCTAGAAGTAGATTAGTGAGCTGCTTTTAAAAAGGGTTTTCACTTATAACTTAAAAGTTGAATTACTATTTGATTATAGCGACTTGTGTAAAGTCAATTAATATTGTGATAAGTGTCAACATTTTGAGTGACTATCAGAACTCAATGTTATGAAATGAATCTTTTCCATATTTCTATATTTTTATGGTCAAATAAAATTATTATCACAATGGGGTTTGTGGAGATCGTAGTAATTGAATTCTTCAGTCGATTTAAGATATAACACCACTTAAAACCTGCAAGCACTGAACGGCCGTTTCGTTTTAGTATGAGACACCTCAACAGTGAGCATCTACGATCTCGCATGCGGGATTCGAACCCAAAACCTTCGGTCATATTAACATTTTATAATTGAAAATATGAAAATTATGTCAAACTAATGATTATTGAGGTTAGAATAGTCTGTACCTTCAAATAAAGGTCAAGTGAATAAATTACATAGGTTGTGAAAATCATACCAAACTGATAATGAATCATAACTGAAATAATATATTGTAAAAATCTATCCACCACATTTTAGTCTCATACTAGTTAATAAACAGTAAACTTGTATACCACACTTTAAGATAAAATTGTACTTCTCTTCCAAATAAAGAGAAAAAAAGTTGAGTGGGATAAAAGCTCAAAAATTGAATGTTTACATGACAATATACGTCCCAGAGTCCGTTTACGTAAAACTTTTAAACTATTATCTGTCTCCAATCATTTTTGACGAATTAGTGTAGAATAAATATTCATGTCAAGTTGATGATTTTTGTGACTAGAAAATCTGAATGATACATACGTTATAGTTCGTTGACTCGAATCCCGCTTCATCAACAAAATATTCCCAAGTACTTGCCCTGAATAGAGGTATACATGTGGACGGTAGTATAAAAGTGATGAACACCCTGGTTAATCAGAGAAGAAACCAGTCTGTATGGCACTTATTACACACCGAAATAAATTTCCAAATAGTTGGGTGACTTAGATCTGTTCATCTAAGCTTTGGATGTGATTTGTGTGGGTTGGTGCTATATAGTGAGAGAGAGCGTTGAGAAAATTCTAGTTGCAGACGGAGAATAGGACAATAAATAGGCCAAAAAACCATTGGAAGGGAAAGGATGAACGTTGTTAGTTTTGTATATTTCGTAGACAGATTAAACACTGCATACTCGGGAGCGGCTTTTCGTCATTGCACACTGAATAGATATGGCTGTTAGTGTTGTTAATTACGGTAACAGATTTTGCAGCAGCATCCAGAACAGTCTCCACCTCGGCATTCATGACATCCACAGCATCTAGAGCATTGAGGACATGCATCAGGAAAACAACCACCCTGGCTGTCTGGTGCTGCTTTTGCAATCACTGAAAATAAAATAACACAACGTCACAATATAATTCATGTGGACTATGACAGAGCGAAACAAAACAATTATATGCCTACACCTCTATTCAGCCCACTCACACTCTGGTTACTTCACTACATGTTGTTCCACAAATACACAGCATACCACATTACTATTCACTTCAGAACTCTTAACTCCGCATCACTTCACTTTGCTTCATTTGAACACATAACACAATACTGTTGTGTTCAGGTGAAAGTTGAATCAGCTAGGGAGATACACTTTTAATTACCTGTCAGTAAGTGACAACTTCATGTTATGCGATGGAATAAGATAAGACTCACGTGAGTTTTGACATTTGAATGATGAGACCAGTGCAACAAAGAAGAGCTGAAATAAAAACACCTATCAGGTATATATTATCATACACCACAGTATTTCAACATACTATGAAGATTTGTATTGTCGTTCGCTGTCAAATTGTTGCTGACTGCATACATTCAACTACAGTATTTATACTGGTGGATGTTGACGTTCGGAACAGACACGTGCTCACATCTGATGTCAACCAGTTAAACTGAAATAATCCATTTAACCACATATCTAAATATATTTATGTGTATGTAAGTTTGTATTCAAGTATGAATGTATGTTTGTATGAAAAGACAATAATTTACGCTTCACTTTGTTCCATCGATTGCAGGTGATCCGTATGTCACTCTGTTCAGATTATTTCGGTAATCACTGACAGGTAGACTAGTGGGTTAGATGAGATTTAAGATTGCTTATGTGTGTATTTACATGGGTGTGTTTAAAATCGTTTTGAAAAATATGATTAGTACTGTGATGAATTTATGACTGGCATTTATTTTGCAAGTGTATTGAAGCTATGCTTACTTGGGTACTAAATATGAGTTGTCAGACTTCTGCTTACTGGATAGTTTCAGTGAGCATATTCTAGATATGTAGAAGAGTTCGAATAATGATATAATAGACGATGTGTTCACTCAAACAACATAGTCAGGGTGTTCTATTAGGTTACAAACTGAACACTATTATTTCATTTCGTTGTATTGGAACTGGGCATTAAATATTTCATTTCTTGGTAACGGAACATTTCAATCTAGTATGTATGTGCGATGTGTTTGTTTATATATATACTCGCTTGTTCGGTTATTTTCGAATGCTTATTTTCGTTATAAGTAGATTGATTGAATTAGGACTATCAAAACAAATGAATCAATCTCGTGCAATATTTATTCTGATATTTATTATTATTTAATAATACATCGTTCACATATATGTGAAATATTGAATCTATGATTTCTTTTACGATCTTATATCTACTTTTATCAAAAGCATACACAGAAAAATCTTGCAGAAACATCTTAGAAACTACACAATTTCTCAAAATATCGTTGCTTTTATACGAACCCAATGAGGGAGTGAATTGCGAATTCATGAATCGATAGCAGCTCACTGATGCATTCCAAGTGAAGATTAGTATCAGAAAAGACTGTTTACTCACGTCTTTTCTCTGTCTGTCAACAGCTGACTGGATTATGAGACCCTCACAAAAAGCATGAAACACAGTGGACAACGTAGTCTTAGTTGGATAATTTAGACTTTCCATATGACGTGTCTCCACTATCTCATATACAACAGCAAATACAGATTAAGACAGCTAGTGTAGCACCACCACTTTTCTTAACTTATACCCAATGTATTAGTTATAGTATCTCACACTCACGACCACTTTTTGGCTTGATCTTGTATACTATTTATTTTATATTTTATGGTGTGTTGAGGTCTGGTTTGCTTGTATATTAACCAAGTATGTCTAATATGCATGAATCATACTGTAGAAGATGTGTTCTGGATTCATACAGTCAGGTATGAGCGGAAGTATAGTCGACTCTAGGCTGTTCTTGATGGTTTATCCGTTATTGATCTGATACAGTATTGAGGTCATATAAGTCTGTGCTCCACGTGGTAGAATTAATCACATGATATAATAACCAGGGCCATAAGAACATAACAGAAATAGTTCTACTGCACCGAGATGAAACTTGAATAAAAACCACCACTCTCACTAAAGAAGTACAGGTGATTATAACAACTGTTTATGCAGGATACATCATATCCATTAGTCAGAAATCATCGATAATAACTTACTCTAAGAGAAAACAAATCAGCTGTCAGTTGAGGAGTAAATTCAGAATAGATGCTGGAGGTAAACACGATACACTATGCAAAATTCACCAAACTACATCTCAAGGAAAGTACTTACTTGGAAAAAATATGTACCAAAACACACGTGGCACCTGGAATTCAAGTCAAGCATTTTCGGGTATACTTCTGTGATTGACTAATCTGTTCCAGTCAAGTCATAATGAGTCATTTTATTTGTTTGATATTCCTTGCTTATTATTATCACGTTAGAAAATCAATCATGTGTGGGCCAGTGTAAAATCTTGTTGGTATCGGTAATATTATCTGTCACAATTTTTATACTTAACAGAATAATGCTATTTTAGAAATATCAGCGTCTAATAGATTGACCGCTTGAAAATGTGAACTCGAAAGTCAAGTCAAGCAGATAAGTATTGGAATTCCAGTTGTCTGTAACGTCTGATAATTCATAATTAATGAAAGAACAAATACTTTGTCTACACTTCACTTCTGATCGTCTTCATCTAGATTATTGATCGTGATTGCAGACACATTGTTTAAACCTCACAACAGCAGAAATTCACACCAGTTATTAAGCAAGTAAAATGGATCTTTCGTGTGTCATTGATGTTACGTATTTGGGAAAAAAAGTAAGTAGGAGGGGATTTCCATCTGAATGGCAATTTAGTGCCTTAGGTTTTATTGGTACGTAGCATGAAATAAAATATAAGGGTTACGTTGGATTTTCTTCGCATGTTCGTTTATGCCTAAAATCACAAGTTATCGTATCATAAATTACCTCGCCTACTAATATAGTCTATGACTATATACCACAGCTGGAACATTTCATAAACAGGCGATCATTATCGGTAGTACTTTCAGGACAGAAAAGGTGACTTAATGCACTGAATCCCGAACATCAAAAAGCATTTGCCAAAACCCTTGTCCATAATCTACTGTTGGAACAAGCAACATCTTACAAAAACGCGAATGCCATCATCAGATTCTTTACTAGATT